CCCCCCCTTTTGCCCTATATAGTTTGCTTTCTGTTTTTAAGTACATTGAGCTAATTCCCACCTTAGGACCTTTGCTCTATCCTGTTCTCTTTGAAATGTTTTGTCCCTATGTCATTTACAGTTTTTTAGCCATACTGGCTAAACTTGAAGTCTCTTTCTTGCCCCCTCCTTTTTTCTCTGTTCTCTGTATTAACCTATGAGCAAATCCTGTTGGTTTCTTCTTTAGGTATATTCAGAATCTGTTCCTTTTTACTATTTCTACCACTAACACTTTGGTCACCATCATCTCTGCTTTGTTTATTGCAGAAGCCTCCTAATTTGTCTCCCTGTTTCTGTTTCTACTGTCTCTGCTCTACTATACTACAGATCAATGTTTCTCTCTCACATCAATGTTTTTCTCTCTCTCTAAAAATCAATAGAACATATCCATAGGTGAAGATTAAAAATAAAAATAAAATAAAAAAGTTCTGTAGTTGTTAAATAGTTTTAGATTTAGAGAAAACTTGGGAAAATAGTACAGAGAGCTCTCATATACCTTGCACTAAGTTTCCATTATTTTTAACATTTTATATTAGTATGGTACATTTGTTACAATTAATGAACTAATATTGATGCACTCATATTAACTAAAGTCCAGGGTTTATTCAGATTTTTTTTCGTTTTTAACCTATTGTTAATTTCTGTTTCAGGATACCATATTGCATTTACTTATTATGTCTTCTTAGGCTCCTCTTGGCTGTGAAAGTTTCTCAGACTTTCCTTATGTCTGATGACCTTGACAGTTTTGAGGAGTACTAGTCAAATATTTTGTAGGATGTCCCACTATTGCAGTTTGTCTAATGTTTTTCTCATGATTAGACAAGGATTATGGATTTTCAGAAGGAAGACCACACATGTAAAGTGCCATTTTCATCATATCAGATCAAGGGTATTTACTATCAACGTGATCTTACATCGTCTAGTCCTCCATTACTTCTCTGAATCTGTCTCACACTACTCTCTACCTTATAAATTTCAATCCTGTTTATTAGGTCTTGTTTCTTGAACATACCAAGCTTGCTTCTGCGTCATGGCCCTGTGTTTACTGCTCCCTGTGCCATTGGATGCTCTTCCTCTAAGTAGCAACATGCTTTATACCCCTTGGTTGCTTACTTCAAGTTTCTGCTCAGATGTCACCCTAGCATAAAGATTTTCATTAAATATTTTATAAAAAGTCATAAAGCAATCCCATTATCTTTATGTCCTACCCTGCTTTATTGTCTCTTCCAACATGACATGTATTTTTTATTTATTTTTTTGTTACTCTCCCCCTAGTAGAATGTAATTCCATGAAAGTACAAACTTTGTTTTGTTTATTCCACTATCCCCAGCACCTAGAATCATGCCTGGCACATAGTAGATGCTCAACAAATATTTACAAATGAATGACTATTCAGATTACTTTCTAGAAAGATTGTGCCACTATATTCCCTAAGCAGTATATTAAAATGCTTACTTTGCTGTGTCTTGAACAGCATTGCATGTTGTCTTTTAAAATACTTGGTTGGTAAAAATTTTTCATTTAAATGTTTTTAGTTGTGTATTTCTCTTTGTTAAATTGTTTCTTCATGTTTTGTGTTTCATAAGCTATTTCTGAATTATATATAACTGTGAGTCTAGATACATTAGTAGTATAGCAGGTACAGGGAAATAACTTTTTTTTCCTTTCTTAGGTTATTATAGTGACCACATCACCAAGTTCAACCTTCGTGCCCAACATTCTCTCCAAATCCCATAACTATGCAGCAGTCACTAAGCTTGTACCAACATCAGTAATTGCTTCCACAACCCAGAAGCCACCGGTGGTTATAACTGCTTCACAGTCCTCTCTGGTCAGTAGTAGCAGCAGTGCCAGCAGCAGTTCTACACCATCACCTATTGCTAATACAGTTGCAGTAACAGCTGTGGTATCTTCCACACCATCTGTGGTCATGTCAACAGTAGCACAAGGTGAGTAGGGATTCAACGTGTAATTCTGTCCCTGTGGTATATTGGAATTTTGAAGAAAACTCTATGGGTATGTTTTTCTACTTTGGGTCTGAAGATCCCTCCTGTTTCATCACAGATTACCACTCTCCCTCTCCCAGTCTGAGAATGTCAAGATAGTGGGTTACTGTTTTCTTACATACTTACTCCAAGATTTTTTAATTCACATGCATAGTATCTAGGCACCTAGGCAATTAACATTCCCAAAATATAGGTTAAATCTTGTCACAACAAATTTCAAAGGTGTGTACAAATATCTTTAATATAGTGGGATTTTTAAATGAGGAACTTGAAATTAATTTACTATAGGTTCTTCAGAGGAGACATCAAGTACATAACCTCTTCCAAGTAAGTTACCCAGTGATAAGTAGGCGGAAGAGGATTATTTCAAGGACATGGCATTGGCCTTTTTTCAGTCTCCTAAATTTTTCTGTGTGGGTGGGTAATGGGAGGTATTGAGAGGAACTGAGGCTGAACTGAAGGACAGTTGCTTCTTTATAGCAGAGGAAAGGAAATGTGGAAAGGTCAATTTTCTGTGAGCTTATATCAGTTTAGATCTCTTCTATATTTTTTGTTCCTTCCAGAGGAAAGACAAATAGCACACTGTCAGAAATTTTTGTGTGTGTGGTTTTGGTAAGTCTTAAGATTGGTCGTCAGAGGGAAATATTTACTATACAGAATTCATACCCATGGTGTAGTTTGTCAAAGGGAGTATAGAAGCAAAATAGAACAGTACTTAATATTAGTTTTCATTGAATTTACGTGAACAATATATAGCTCAAGATAGACTGAGAGTGGGAAATACAGTTTTTGAACTAGTAGCAAATGCAAAAAGTTGAATAGGAAAATAGTGTTTTTCATAATTGCTTTAATCATGTTTAGTGTGTTCTATATAACTGTGGTCAGTATTCCTTTTCTATAGCCCTAATGGTAGAATGTGGGAGCATATCATTATTTTCTGGCTCTAATATTCATTTAATGTCTCAATCAATAACAGGAAATAGCAGGTTTGAAATTTTATTTGTTACCTTATTTTTAAAAAATCATTCCAACTTTTCTGTTCGTGAAGCAGTAAACTATAGTATTATTAAAAACAGAAATAATTTTTATATAGAAAGTCTGTTTAAAATGCTGGTTGCAAACATGTTCTGAATTCATCATTTCAAAATTTGAAGGTGAGAGAAGCAAAGGCCACTTGTCTGCTCACCTGATTGATCCCTGTATCAAAACTATCATCCATTGACAGTTGTTTTTTCCTTCCAGTCCTCATTATGCAGTTTGCTAAAGTTTTACTGTATTAGAAAGTTTACTGTTCTTCCAAGGTATTATTTAAAATAAAAGAGGTATTCCTCTTGGTTACTAATGAAGTATCTTTAGACAAAATGAATATTCCATGCTTATGTTTTTATTCTTAATTTTCTCCAGGTACCCTCTGAAGCTCTTGCAAACTTATGACTTCCCTATTTTCTTCTTTGCTTCTTGCTTCCTGTATCTCTTTGAGCCTTAAGTAGTTATAGTGGAGCTGGATAAGACGTCTCAGAGATTTCTTATGAATACACTGGAATTCAATAGAGCATAAGGGATGTAAAAGTATCTAAATGTAGATATTCAAAGAAACTGTATGATTATTTTGAGTATCTGTTTGAGATATTTAATTTTTATATTATTAGTGCTAAGAAATTAAGGCATCTGCTTTTTTAAAAAGATAAAATTTAGTGGGAGTGGTAATGTGCAGACTGTAGTTGTGATTCTGACTATAGGGCTTCTGTAACAGCTCCTGTGTGGGGTACCTGGGGGAGAAATGCATTCAGTGTCTGCTTTTGTTGGAGATTAAAGATAGGCTGTTTTAGAGCTGATGTATCTATCTCTGGTTATTCTTGTAGAGGCAGCTAATGGAAGAGGGTGAAGAGTCTTAGTAGCAGTAACTTGGTGGATGACTCCAGGTTTATAAATGTAGAGATGGTTCCAAATGTAGAGAATAGGGGGATTATATATGGTTTGCTCATGCTGTGGGAAAGGAAAGAAACTGCTTAATATTAGGAATATGGGAAGTCTTAAAATTCTGATTAGAATGGTTCTGAGTTGGTTGTCTAGAAGAAAGGATAATTTAAAAAAATTATTATGGAAAATTTCAAACATATAAGTAGAGAAAATAGTAAAATGAACCCTCATGTACCCATTACCCAGCTTCAAGGATGTACAACACTTGGTCAGTCTTGTTTCATCTGTATCTGCTATTTCCTTCCCCGCACCCTTGACCTGGAATATTTTTAAAGGTATTATGTGTATCTTAAAAAAAAAAAAATCACTGCCCAGCTGTGCGTGGCTCAGCGGTTGAGCATCGACCTAGGATCCAGGCGATCAGGGTTCGATTCTCAGTCAGGGCACGTGCCCGGGTTGCGGGCTTGATCAGTGACTCTCTCATCATTGATGTTTCTGTCTGTCTCTCTCCCTCTCCTTTCCTCTCTCTGAAATCAATAAAGATACATTTAAAAAAAAAAATTTAAAAAAAAAATCACTAATCACAGTGCCACACCTAGAATTTTTAACAATAATTTCTTGACATAATAAAATATCTAGTTAGTATCTAAATTTCTTTATTATCATAAAAAAATTTTTTTTGAATTAGGATCCAAGTAAGGCCCACACATGGCAGTGATTGATATGGTTATGTCTTTTTTAATTTTGCAATTTATTTAAGAAATCAGTCCTTTTTCCTGAGAGTTTCTTATAGTCTGGATTTTGCTGATTTTAATAAGTCTCCTGTTCCATGTATTTCCATAAAACTGGTAGTTAAAAAAGGAAGCTTGATCAGATTCATGTTTAATTGTTTTTGGAGATAGGGGCAATGAACATTTTATAAGTGGTATTGTGTACTTCCTGTTTTATTACTTTAGAAGGCACATATCGTCCAGTTTCTCTTTTTAATGGTATATTGACATTGATCAGTAGATATAAATGTTACCAGATGTTTTACTAGCTATTGATAATCTTTGCTTAGGTCATTATTTTATTGGTAGTTGCAAAGTGAATTTTTTTTCTTTATTTATTAGCTGGAATCCTTAGAGAAGAACTTTCCTTCGTCATTGGTTACCTTGAGGTACAATTCACATAGGAAAATGTTTATTTAAATGTTTTCATATAATGAGTTGGTTTAGTGACCAATGATCTTTTTATTCCCCATATTAAGATTTTTTTTATGTCACTCCATCGCAGATAGTAGGCCTATCCTTTTCAGTGGGAGCCTCTTTAAGTTGGCTCCTCAATTCTTTTGACACAACCACATTAGTCCTTAATAGCTTTCTTGTTTTGTGGTATGACAAGATAGGTTCATCTGCACATCCCTTCCCCTTTGGAATTAGCCATTTCTTCAAGGAGCTCTGGTTTCTTGGTGAGAAATGGTGTTTAGACACCACAGTCTGGGCACTGAGGGGCTGGTCATTGTTTCTAGATCTTTTCTGGACAGAGCTAGAATCCTTTCTTCTTTAAGGAGGAAATACATCATGAGTTTATACTGATATTACCAATTCCAATTTAGAATTACGAGTTTTTCTTTGTTTTTGTATTTGTATCTTTTTCTCCTCTTACACTGAAAATCCTGGTCCCTAATGGTTAATAAAATTGTGTATTTGACTTATCCTGTAATATATAATAGTTCCAGAATAACAAAACCAAATGATAACTGAAAATATAATTACAGAGTAGAATTTAAGATTTTATTATGGTTCTTTTCGCTCTTAGGGTATTCTCACTAACGATATGTAGTTGAATTGCTGTATTTTAAAGTCACTTGAAATAATTTTTTTTTCTGTGGTGAAGCTCTAATTCAGTATACAATTAGGTTAATTTGTTTTCTTTTGTCTTTATGGATTATAGTTAAAAATTTCTTGACTTAATTTTATTTATAATTAGATAAAATATTTATATAGTTCTATAGTATTTTATAGTTCCAAAGTCAAATTCACAAACGAGGTGTGTTCTAAGAAGTCTCCCTTTGATCTACAATTCTTTTACCCTGTTTTGTCCTTCCCTGATAAGTAATCTTTTTTTCCTTTAGTTTTTTCTTTATCCTTCCATTTTTTAATGTATAAGCAGATATGTATATATTATATATCCCCTGGTCTTAGATCAAAGGTGACATATTATATTTGTCCCCATTTATTCTAGGGGAGTACGTTCCAAGACCCACAGTGGATATTTGAAACTGTGAATAGAATTGAACTCTATATAAACTATGATTTTTCCTATACATACACACTTATGATAAAGTTTAATTTATAAGTCAGCCACTGTAAGATAACAACAATAACTAATAATAAAATAGAACAATTATAACAATATACTATAATAAAGTCTATCTGAATGTAGTCTCTCTCTCAAAATACCTTGTTATACTGTACTCTCCCTTGTGATGATATGAGAATTCAGTGCCTGCATGATGAGATGGACTTGAATGATGGAGGTATTGTGATGTAGTGTTAGAGTAGTGTAAGGGATACTTGAACTCAAGCACTATGATACCATAACAGTTAAGCTGATAATATTTCTCAATTAAAGAATAGGCTATTTATTATTGGGATAGATTACTGTAGCCTTTCTATTTTTTATTCTACCTGTTGCTTAGATAAATCCTGTTGATATTGTCTTTTCTCTTCCCTTGAAGAGAAATTGTCTTCCATCTCATTCTTCTCCTCATATTCTTTGTAGACTTCATGAGTTATTCACCCAATACAGGCATTCCTCAGAGATATTGCAGGCTCTGTTCCAGACCACCACAGTAAAGTGAATAGCACAATAAAGTGAGTCACACGAATGTTTTGCTTTCCTGGTGCATATAAAAGTTATATTTACACTATACTATAGTCTATTAAGTGTGCAATAGCATTATGTCTAAGAAAATAATGTACATACTTTAATTTAAAAATACTTTATTGCTAAAAAATGCTAACCATCATCTGAGCCTTCAGTGGGTCATAATATTTTTGCTGGTGGAGGGTCTTGCCTCCAATTTGTAAAAGAACCAACATCTGTGAAGCGCAATAAAGTGAAGTGCAATAAAATGAGGTATGCCTGTATTTAATATACTATACTTTTTGTTATTTTAGAGTATACTCTTTCTGCTTATAAACAAGTTTGCTATAAAACAGTATGCCATCTTATACTGGCAGCAGCCTCATATATCTAGTGCTTACTATGTCCCTTTATTACATCATTTTTCTCTTGGACTTGATTTAATTTTGTGTTATTTTGTACAGTAACATAGTCTACAGGCTTGTAGCCTAGGAGCAATGAGCTGTACTGTATAGCCTAGGTGTGTACTAGGCTCTACCATCCAGGTTTGTATAAGTGAACTCTGTGGTGTTTGCACAAGGACAAAATCACCTATTGACACATTTCTCAGAAATGTATCTTCATTGTTAATTGGTACATTACTAGTAATATAAAAGGTCACTGATCACAGATCACCATAACAAATAATAATGAAGAAGTTTGAAATATTACAAGAATTACCAAAATGTGACATAGAGACATGAAGTGAGCAAATGCTATTGGAAAAATGGCACTGATAGACTTGCTCAACACAGAGTTCAATAAACTTTCAATATGTAAAATGCAGCATCTGCTTAATAAAGCAAAGCACAGTAAAGCAAGGTATACCTATCCTATGACAGTCTTCTGCCCACATTTTATTTTTCCTCTTTTAGATTGATCCCACGTCAACCTAAGTAACATGTTACTTTCGATTATATCATACTCACTAATATTTCTGTTTTCTTTGCTGTATTTCCTTTCTTTAGACTGGCCCTGAATCCAGTTCCTGTTTATTAAAGTCCTGTCCTTTTGAAATCCTCAACCCTGTCATTTCAAATTTGGTCCTCATTCAGTATCCAAGTTTTTTGAAACCTAAAAGTTAGTGGAATAAATAATTTTAGGGAACAGTAGGGAGCAAAAGCCCACCAGTAATTCTACCACTCTATCACAGTAGCACTTTTCATTTTATATATTATTGCCTTTTTACCCATATGAACAACATTTTATTTATTTGGAATAAAAAAAATCTCCATTCCATTTGGTATCATACTTTCTTCATGTAAGATTGCTTCAACATTCTTCTATTTTTCTGTAATTATCCTAATTATTTCCAGAGCTGTTTAATTAAATCTGTTACTATTGGATAATTTATTAAATTATTAATGTTGGATATTTAGAGTATTTCCTGGTTTTGGTATTATAGATTTGACTCTAGTGAACATCTTTGTGAATTTAATCGAGCCCTCTATTTTTTTAGAACCAGAACTAAGGAACAGGATTACCAAATGAAAAGGTTGAAATTTTTTGGTAGAGTTTGCTAAATGGCATATTTTAGCTCTGAGAACTGTATCATTCAAGTACCGCTTATTAATTCTAGTTTTCTCCCTTCCCTTCTTTGATAGTGAAAAACCTAGCTTTCATTATCTTTCATATACTTCTTTTTATCAGTCTGCCAGTATCTAACTTATCTTTCGTTGTTGCTATTTAGCCCAACCTCCATGCAAATGCCTTTCTTAATCCACTAAGGCTCTCACATCCTGCAAACTACTGCCCCCCCCCCCC